AGTCATGCCTGAATTTTTAGCGACAACTGAGTCCAGGAGATCTAGTTTCTCCTCTGAGGATGATGTCAAACAAACCACTGAAGATAAAAATTTTGTTGGACAAGTTGATGCATCTTATGACACACTTCCAAAAGTAAAAAGATATATTCAATTCTCAAACGCTGAACCTTGTTTGACAACACTGCCCTTGAACAAAGAAAGTATATCACCTGAACTAGTGGCACAACCCGAATCAAGGAGATCAAGTACGTCATCTGATGATGATATCAAACTTACAACCAATGAAGACAGTTTCTTTAGGAAGATAGGTGTATCTCTCGATACAGTGCCGAATGTTAAAAGATACATTCAATTCAATCAGCCAAAACCTTACACTCCAACTCTAACATCTTCACCTATTTCAACCAAGAGGCCTGAGGCAGTAGTGGAGACAAGTTCCAGCAAATCTGTCAAGTTGGATGACAAATCTGATGCTACAGAAAACAATTTTTGGGGGCAAATAAATCTTGATGCGGTATCAAAGGTTAAGCGATATGTTCAATTTACACAGTCCAAACATCATTCTCCAACTCTGCCGTCAGTTTCATCCTCTACAAAAGTCACAATTGATATGGCAGTGAAACCTGAAGCTACAATTGACAGATCCTCTGGAGACCAGGGTTATTTAATGCAAACAGAGTTATCCCCTGAAAATATTCAAAAAGTGAAAAGATACATTCACTTCAAGCAGTCTGAACCTCATTCCCCAACTCTGCCATCACCACCTTCCTTAACTATGAAAGATGCTATACAGGAAACAAGGAGATGTAGCTCATCATCAGATGATGATCAACGGACAAACAAGGAAGACAATTTCTTAAGGAAAATAGGTGCATCTTCTGATGGAGTATCAAAAGTAAAAAGATTCATCACATTTAAAGAGTCTAAACCTTCTTCCCCAACACTATCAATATCCAGTCCTACTGTCACAACTGAGGCAGTAAAGTCTATGCTCACTAGCACCTCTAAAGATGATGTCAGATCTCAGAATGCCAGTGATCATTTCTTTGGTAAAATAGATGTATCTTTCGATGGTGTGCCAAAAGTAAAGCAATATCTTAAGTTTAAGGAGACTGAACTTCTTCCACAACACATTCAGTCAACATCTTCACCTTCAACCTCAGGAGTAGTTAAACAAGGGAAAGTGGAAAGCAAATTCTTTGGAGAAATCGGTATTTCTCTTGATAGAGTACCACAAGTAAAGAGATATATTCAATTTAAACAGCCTGTATCTCATCTTCCAGTAGTGTCACCCACCACTTCAAATACACTGCAAGTCAAAACTGAGGTGAAAACCAAATCTGAAGCAAAGAGATCGAGTACTTCTTCTGAGGATGATGTCAAACAAACAGCCAATGTCTCTGGACAAACAGGTTCTCTTGATAGAGTACCAAGAGTTAAAAGATACATTCAATTCACACATCCTGAAATTCAATCTACAGCTCAGACAACAACTGGTCTCTCATCTGAAAGAGTCAATGTAACTATTGTAGCTAAAGAAACAAGGAGATGGAGCACTTCATCTGAGGAAGATGTTAAACCGACTAGTAAAACAGAGAATATCACTGAAGAAACGAGTGAATATCTTGCCAAAATCCCAAAAGTAAAGAGGTACATTAAGTTCACACAATCTAAACCATACTCCTCAAATCTGTCACAATTTCGTCCTTTAACCATGGAAAAATCCACAAAGTTTACGGAAACTGAACTGAAACAACCAGCCACTAGGGAGAGCACTTCATCTGAGGATGATGTTCAGGAAGACAGTGGCTCTGGGAAAATAGGAGTGTCTCTTAACGTAGTACCAAGAGTTAAGAGATACATTCAATTCACACATCCTGAAAGTCAATCCCCTGCTCAGTCAACATCTGCTGTCTCAGCTCAAAGACTTGGAACATTGGGGGTAGTTCAAGACACAAGGATATCAAGCACTTCATCTGAGGAAGATGTCACACTAAGTGCTAAGGAAGACAATGTCTTTGGACATACTGGAGCATCTCTTGACAAATTTCCAAAGGTTAAGAGATATATTCAATTCACAAAGCGTGTAAGTGAACCCCTTGTTCGGACAACAACTGCTCTCTCAGCTAATCGACTTGGAATATCTGGGGTTGTTCAAGAAACAAGGAAATCAATTACTTCATCTGATGATGATGTTGAGCTATCTACTCATAATGATGATGTGTTTAAACAAAGAGGTGAATCTTTTGATAAAATCCCTAAAGTAAAGAGGTACATTGAATTCATACAATATGAACCTTATTCCTCTGCACAGTCAAAACTTCCAACTTCAAGTGTTGCTAAATCCATAAAGGTGACAGCAACAGAATTAAGGGGATCCAGCACTTCAGTTAAAGATTATGTACAACCATCTACTAATGCAAAAAAACCAGCATCAAAGCCACAGATCACTTCATCTGAAAATCTTGACAGAGTACAGAGAGTTAAGAGATACATTCAATTCACACCTATTGAAAGTCTATATCCTGCTCGGGCATCAACTGCTGTCTTAGCTGAAAGAGTTGGAATATCAGGGGTAGCTCAAGAAACAAAGATATCGAGCACTTCAGCTGTTAAACCATCTGCTAATATAATTGGAAATTCAGACAAAAATTTATTTCAAGAAACTGGTGTATCTCTTGATAAAATCCCAAAGGTAAAGAGGTACATTGCATTCACAAAGAGTGAACCATCTTCTGTACCAACCAAATTAATGAAAAGAGCTTTAACACCTTCAACAAATACAGACTTTGAAACCACATGGTCCAGTTTATCGTCTGAGGTGTCACCTCCTGCCTCAATGAAAAAAGGTTCTGCATTAATAATAAAGACCCAATCAGAATCATGGACCTCTGAGTTTACTTCAAAGGACAACATGAAAGGAGAGCTTATGGACAGTTCAGTAGAACAGACTGGTCTGAAGTCAAAGGTAAAGAAGTCAAGTTCCTCATCCAGTGACGAACACTCTGTAGGACAGGAGGTTGTGGATGTGGATGTAAAAGCACCACAAGATGAGCCACCAGCAGTTTCACAGACACCGCCACCTCCCCTAGAACAGGAGTGTGCCAGAGAGTATCTCAGAGAGAATTCTGAAATCCGTCAAAGGCAAGAACGCAGAAGATTACAGCAGCAAAGGAGAAGGGAAATGGATGAGTTCAACATTGTTTCCCTATCCTCCATTCAACAAAGCGACCAGCAGGATAGCTCACCAGCAGATTATGGAGAAGTGCCACCATTCCAAACAGAACATATTTACAGCAGTGTTTCTACAAGGAACACATTAACTTCCAGACACGCAGAAGGAGCCCAAGCCCCAGTTTTACAGAGCCTTAAAACTAAGAGTGCATCAACACTTGGTTCCAAGTCAACTCCAAAGTATAGGGAATATTTAATTTAGCTAGAGTTCATTTTGACTCACCAGATAAACAATGTTGTGTGATTTTTTGCTGATGCTTTCAAAATCACAGCTTTTGAGGATGGGGATTTGCTTTTTACGAAGTATTGTAAATACTGTTATATAACTATGAACATAACCTAAACTTCAGTATTTCATAAGTTCTGTTCTTTTTGCATTGAAACTGTATGAATGTACATAAGAATGTGTATTGTCTAAGAATATAAACACTGTATTGATTTTATCAGTCATGATGTGCAATACTAAAAAAAAATCCAGAGGCTATTAACTGCACTCAATGACAACACATTATATCCATTAATGAGGCAATAAACTTTCTTCGTCCCTTTTATTAAATCTTAATGGTTTTTGTTGAATACTAGCTTTCCTGCAAACAGGGGGAAGGTCTCAGCATGACTTCAGCATAGTTGTTAGTCGAAGTCTTCCATCCCTTTATCTAAAACAAATAAAAACGACTCCACATTTCGTTAATAAACCCCTTTATATATATTGAATGTAGAGAGGTTACAGTAAAAACAAACACATATACACACACATCCATACATATATACAGTCAGATGAGAATGCTCAGCCCTCTGCATTACATACTCCCCCAACAAAAGCAACAGTCATAACAACACAGGGAACTTGTCTATCTGTTGAAATAATTAATTTTGAAACAACTATTTCCCTCAGGCACAAACAGGTGCAGATGAATGGGATTATAACAAGTGTCTGTGGACATTTTTCAAATGGATTCTGGCGAGCATGCGCAGCATACATAGAATACTTGATAAATAATTTATGATGAGTAACTTTCATCTTTCAGAAAAAGTAGGAAAAAAAATCATAAAATAAAACAAAAATATCTTGTAACCAGAAAATAAATTGTTACCCTAAGTAAGCTTTAATAAAGTTAATGATTTTGTCTGTCTCTGTATGACATGAACATAAAATTAATATGTTTACATGGAACTGCAGATACTGTATACTGAAATGCTGCAGTCAATTATGTACATGGTAGTTTAGCACTTGGAGATGGTGGAGAAGGCAATGCAGAGAAGAACATCTCAACAGATGAGGTTACAAGTGTGTTTAAGCTCTAAATACCATCACACAATCATGTTTTTCATAAAGCGTTAAGACTGCATGACCGCGGATACCCAAATTAAGCACAAAAAAAGTCCACTTCTACAAATACCTGTACAAAAAAAAGAAACAAGAGCAAAAAAAGTACAAAAAGAAAAAACCTCATTCATTCACGAAGACGGCTCTAATTGCAGAATGCATGCATGCATTTTTTTTTCTTGTTCAGATGACAAGTTGGCTTCACGCCACAGCCATAGACAAAACTCAACAGTTTTACAAACATAACTAGAACGTTAAATAGTTGCTAGGCATTGGTCACTATGGGTTAAGGTGATCACATTTTACCACAAGATCTGTGGAAGAGGATGTGGCCAAAAGAGTGTCAGTGTTTAGGGCAGGATACCTGTTTTTATATTTTTGTGGCAATTCATCATAAAAATTCCAAAAAAAAAAAAAAAAAAAAAAGTACAAAAAGAAAAAACCTCGTTCGTTCATTCACAAAGACGGCTCTAATTGCAGAATGCATGCATGCATTTTTTTTCTTGTTCAGATGACAAGTTAGCTTCAAGCCACAGCCATAAACAAAACTCAACAGTTTTACAAACATAACTAGAATGTTAAATAGCTGCTAGGCATTGGTCACTATGGGTTAAGGTGATCACATTTTACCACAAGATCTGTGGAAGAGGATGTGGCCAAAAGAGTGTCAGTGTTTAGGGCAGGATACCTGTTTTTATATTTTTGTGGCAATTCATCACAGAAATCAAGTGCACTTTAACAGCTTTCTCTCGTCGTCATTTTAACCGTGACATGCACAGTATAGTTACATTGCAAAGGAATCAAATGATATAGAGAATGCATTCCACAGTCACTTTAACCTGCTTACACTCCTCTACAAGATGGCCATATCTTGCCATTGCAGTGCGAATACACAATGGTCATGCGAGCCAGGAAAAAGATTCCTGGCTCTACGCTCATAAGTATAACCCACTGTTCTTCATGTTGTGAACAGTAAAGCTGTTCTTGTTGATCTCATAATCAATATCAAGAATGTAAGTGGTGAAAGGTATACTGATACAACACCACTGGAAGTACTTACAGCAGAATGTCTATGACACTCTTGCATGTGGTGCGCTTTATTAAATGGCATCCAAGTGCAGTGAGACTGGTAAAAATAAAACTTATGGCAAAGGTCGCTGTGTATCTATGGTAACATGCTCTGACTGTCAGCATCCTCCAACATAAAAACCGTAGTAAACAGTGTTTGGACCACCATCAGTAGAGCGACACTTTAAGCGATTTCCATTTTGAACCTTAGTAATAAGTCACTGACCTTCAGTAAAAAGCCAAGCAGGTTCTTCTTTTTCCTTTCCTTCCAGGCCTAAATTACCTAAACTTCAGACAGTATGGGAGTTTTTACCTATCCTGCCTTGTGGAGAATCCAAATTCATCCTCCTTATAAGAGCCTACTGAAACATTCACAGCAATATGAAACATCACAGTGGGGTGGGAAGGCGGCACCAAGACTGGCCGTGTGCTTACCCACAATGCATTGTGGGCTATGGGGGACATTAGGTGGAGTCGGTGAGGTGCTGTTTCTCCTACACACAACCACCAGTGACCCTCCTATGGCCCCGGCTAAAAGGGCGACATACAAACATGTGCATTGATAATTACATTCTATGCAAACACTCACACACTCAAGCCCTCAGCACCAGGGGCCACCATCAGTCTGTCCCAAACACTTCAGTTTTGATTTGTACTTTGTTTTCTAGATGTTTGCATCAAAGCCGTTTCTGTCGTCATTGTCATGGTGATTGTTGGCGATTAGTTGGTCTATCTAGTTGGTGATGGTGGTAGGCATGGGGAAGCTGTCGCTACGACATCTCTCGGTCTTTATACCACTCCACAAACTCATCCAAAAGCACTGGCCCTGAGGAAAGAGGAAAAATGAGTCGAAAGACAAATCTGATGTACTTCCAGCTGCATTTTACAAAAGAATGATGGGTGTCTAAATTGGGGTGTGATTGGAAGAAGTATGTTTAGGTGTGAGTGCTTGTACTCACAGGCCCCGTCCTCATCATAGTTACTGAGATCAAGGTTGATAGTCCTACTGAATTCTAGAACATTGCACCATTGATCTTTATTTATAACCTTATACTTAGATTGCTGTGGAAAAAAGGGGGAAATTTGTCAAAAATTTCACAGACTTAAAATTTAAGACAATATGTACTGATGCACATATATCTGTATAAACAACCAGTCGAATATTTGTACTCCCTAAATTAACTGAACATGGTCTTTAAAAACCTTTTGATTTGAAGATTTATGGTGAATTAGATTTTCAGACAAACACAAAATTGTGGCTTCATGTTGAAATGTAATTTTTTTAAAGGAATAGTTCACCCAAAAATGAAATTTTGCCATAATTTACTCACACTCATGTCGTTCCAAACTTGTATGAGCTTCTTTCTTATGTTAAACATAAAATAATATATTCTAAAGAATGCTGGTAATCAAACAGTTGATGTCCCAGTTGACTTTCATGGTATTTCTTTCCCTGCTATGGAAATCAATGGGGACCAACAACTGTTTGGCTCATCAAAATTCTACACAATAACTTTTTTGTGTTCAACATAAGAAAGAAACTTATACAACTTTGGAACAACATGAGAGTGAGTAAATGACAACATTTTCATTTTTGGGTGAACTAGCCTGTTCCTTTAAAGGAACAAAAAAAAGCAGCCATTACAAATGATCAGTATACATGTGAACTCTCTCTCGGTACTGTTTCAAAAGCATCGCACGATGTATTAAGTTGGATGACCATCAAATATATGCTCAAATATTTTTTTATTAGTTTTTCCATTGTTATTTGTATGACTTTAAAGGGGTAAATTAAGTGAAATGTCAACATTTACTGAGCCTTGTGTTGTTCTAAAACTATGACTTTCTTGCTTTTTGGTAAAAAGCGTTTTTGTTGTTGGGGTTTTTTTTGTCTATACAATGGAAGTCATTGGTAACCAAAACTGTTTGGTTACCAACATTCTTCAATATATCTTCTTTTATGTTCTACAGAAAAAAAGGTCATACAGTTTTGGAACAACATCAGGTTGAGTAAATGATGACAGAACGTTCATTTTTGATTCAACTTTCCTTTTAATAATAATAATAATGAGTAGAAATAATGGATATGAAGGTGTGTTCAATCATTTGACTGGTCATGTAAAATAATTGAAGTGACACTGATAGACTGTAAAGATTAAAGTATTTACTTCTAGAAACTGGTTAAACACTGGAAACAATGGCCAGGTCTTCCCAAGCAGAAGTCCCAGCATGCACTTGGCGGTATTCAAGTCTAAACTCCTCTGATCCTTCTCCTACAAAGGGGTGGAAGCATATTAAAGTTTAAAGAGTTTGAATACAAGTTCACACATCAAAATAAAAATACTTAGTTGGCAATTATGGTGGTGACTGAGGTGACAATCTGTAAATGACCCATTATTGCCAAGGTACTTAAAACCAGGTTGCTTCGCTTTGGAATTAAGTGTACTGTGTACTCTATACTCAGAAGAACTTGAACATATGATAATACAACCACCTGAGGGCAGACATGATTATTGTCCCTGCACCTTGATAAGCAAAAATAGATATTAATGTCTTTAAAATCACTCTAACTGCCATAATATGTTACTAGTGCACAAGAAAGGACTAAATGCTCTATTCAAGATGAGTCTAGACATGAACAATTCTGTTTCATCTAGACAAGATGAATGTCATGTTATCCATTCAAGGTTGCCACAAGCTATTTATTTGTACTCCTCCACTTTATTGGCCCTATCGAATGGCTCCAGTAAGAGCTTCACTCAGCAAAGGTCCAGTCGCTTTACAAATCATACCAAGGGAGTGAAAAAAACAACTACTGGACAAGAGATACTTCTGCTGAGCAGAAAAAGAGGTAAAAAAAAAAGCCCTTGTCTGCTGTAACTGAAGGACTGATGTGCCCAGCATGCACGCAGGGAAAGAAAAAAACCACAGAAAGGTTCCAGATGCACAGCCACTGGCAAAACCAAATATAGTGTTGATGTATTAAAAGAAGACCAGAGCTTCTAAAGTGAACGGTGATTAATTTTCATCAATCATCTGTCCTAATGCATATACACAGTCACTCCTACCCTGGCAAAGTCGAAGGCATATCGGTAAATGAGCTTGAAACTGGTGGCATCATTGAGGACAGACCTCAGGTAGTCTAGAGAGTTCCTGAGTTTTTCAGTAGAGTCACATCTGCATATGACAGAAGAAGAGGAAAAGTGAAGGTTGGGATGAGAATAAGTGTAGTAGCATGGTAGTAGATGCGTTTAAGTTCCATGTTTTGCCAGACATACTGCAATGAGCCCATTCCCTTGAGCCACTCCTGTAAAGTGAAGTAACCCATACTCTGGGCATCAAGCTTCCAGGCCAATACCAGCATCACTACCTGCGAACAAACATACATTAAAGGGTTAGTTCACCCAAAAATGAAATTTTTGTCATTAATTACTCACCCTCGTGTTGTTCGAAACCCGTAAGACCTTCGTTCATCTTCGGAACACAATTTAAGATATTTTTGATGAAATATGAGGGTTCTCTGACCCTCCCATAGACAGCAAGGTAACTACCATGTTCAAGGTCCATAAAAGTACCAAGATGATCGACAAAGTAGTCCATGTGACATCAGTGGTTCAACTGTAAAGTTACGAAGCACGAGAATACTTTTTTGTGCAAAGAAAACAAAAATAACGACTTTATTTTTTAAATATATTTTTTATCATCTTGGTAATTTTCTGGACCTTGGAACATGGTAGTTACCTTGCTGTCTATGGGAGGGTCAGAGAGCCCTCAGATTTCATCAAAAATATCTTAAATTGTGTTCCGAAGATGAACGAAGGTCTTACATGTTTGGAACAACACGAGGGTGAGTAATTAATGACAGAATTTTCCTTTTTGGGTGAACTAACCCTTTAAAATGTAAAGCTAATAACAAGATTTTTTTTTTTTAGTAAACTATGAAATCATATTAGATCAGGCTAGTTTTCTTACATTCTCTGGCTCCACTCCAATGTCTTCACAGAATTTCTCCATCCCCTCTGGTCCAACAACGTCATCGCACCCTATTTACACGACATATTCTGACACAATTTACTATTATATACAGTGGCCCCAAAAAATGTTTAGACAATTAAGCCACAATTAAAACTGCATAAATGTCTTTGCACAAGCACAATTCAATCAAAACATTTTACAAGTGTGTTAACTTAGGTTTCAAAATATGAAGCAATAGGTATACCGTTTAAAATAAAAACAAAAAGTCTTGGACACTTTCTAGTTGTCAAATTTCTGTGGAACATGTTCATATGTTAATGTGCCAGGGTACTTTTAACTTAATAGGAACTGACTTTATATATTCACAAAAAAGAATGACTGAGACCAATTGGTTATAAATAATTGAAAAAGTAAAGTACGTCCTAAGAAAACCTTTTTTTTTTTTTGCAGATGCCACTTGGTTTGATATTTTTTAATCTTTATATTTGATATTTTGCATGCAATACAATTCAGACATTTTTAAGTGTGACTTAAGTTTCCAAATACATGTTAGTATATACTTATAGTCATTCTATTTACATCTTAACTTCATTTGGAAAGTGTCTAAAGCCACAAGGACAGAATTCTGAATCCAAAAAAGCCTACATTTAGCTGACATTATTCACTGCCTTCTAGACAATATCAAGTCAAATTATATAAGCTTACCAGATTCTGATGTGATTTGATTATACTCTTTATAAGACCTTACTAATAAAATCAAAGAGATATACATTTGCAACAGTTCATAGTATTGTGACAAACTCAATATGACTACAAACGGGATGCCCACGTACCTGCGTATTCGTAGAACCATTCTAGACATCTCTTGCTAGAAAAAGCTTCGGCTTCCTGGATTTGCAATGTCTCCTGTTTTCTGTAAACACTGAAATGAATAGACAAGGACTGAGCGGAGGGTATTTAAATACACATTAACACACACTTGTATACACATTAAAGCACGAACGTGTTACATCTGATACAAACAAGAAGAGACACTAGGCTTGCCGTGATAGACAGTGCTGACGGTGATACCATTGTTAAGCCGCAACACCGATTACGTCACTTGCCCACCGCGGCACCGACCCCCACCGTCGTTTTGATTTTTTTTATAGTAATAAAAATCATTTAGTTCAGTAAAAGAACTGACACTACAATTAAAAACTGAACGCGGCTGCTCAATGCAGCGTGCCGAACGATTATCCAGTGAGGAGAGTGAGTCGAGCTGGCTGACAAGAAGAGTGGGGTGAGACAGAAAAGACGATGGCGGATGATTTAGTTTCAAAACGAAATGCAAAAACGCCTGTTTGGCAGTATTTTGGATTTCTGAACAGCCTGTTGACTTTTGCTGTTTATCTAAGAAGATTTTGAAAGTGTTTTTAAACATTTGTTTCTTATTATTTGGTTCCACAGTGTTTGCTGATTTTTACATTATTTAAACTTTGTGTAATTTGTTTATTTTATTTGACATCAAGGTGTATGCCGTGCCTCCAAGCTTTCTTATTCGTTTTGCTAATAAACTTTCTACGTTTCTTATTTATTTGGTTATATATTATACATGTTTACTTATTTCCAGTTTTGTATAGGCTACCTATTTAAACTTTATGTAAGTTATTTGTTATTTTATATTAGGCATAGCCTGCCCTATAGCATGGTGTATTTTTATTCGTTTTGTTAATAAAATTCTATGTTTTATATATAGGCTAAAGTGAGTTTGACGTTGTATTTTGTTGTTGCATTCAAGCAATTCACGACGAATTGCTGCTAATTCGAAACACAGCACAGTGCTTTTAAGCTATTTAAAAGCGAAGGAAAGCGAGGAAAAGAGGAAACGCTCCTGCCCCCACGGTGATACCGGTATTATCGGTGTTGTCACACATCGATTAACCGGTGGGAAAATTTCCTCACCGTCACAACCCTAAGAGACACATGCTCTGAGGGCAGAAATCCACCCACACAAAGCGATCTGATGGTACAATTAACAGTTATGATAATCTCAACTTTCTTTTGACATTATTTTATTATAACAACATTCTGCTCCTTCTGTGCATAAATACAGAATTTCTTAATTGACATACTTTAACAGACAACTAGTTTAGTTGTTAATCAAGGAGTTAGATAGATGGATAAGAGTGTATGTTTGAGTGAATTAAAGGAAAGTCAACGGACAGATGGAATGGACAGAGATGAAGGGCTGGAGAGATGGATGGATGAATGTTTTGAGCATACTTATCCTGCCGGCTCTTCTTAGCAGACAGGTCATCTCCAGCAGTGGGTCTCCTCTTTTTCCTGGGGGGCATGGCTCTGGAGCAGCAGGCTGGAAAAGAGAGACAAACACGACACAAAGATGACGATTATTTTTTATTTATTTTTTCAGTCATTCCCTCCCTCAAACCAATGAGATGTCCTCATTTAATTTGCTTAAGATGGCCTGCATGTTTTCAAGACTGTTTGATGAATAGAAAGTTCAAAGGAACACAATTTATTTGATACAGAAATATTTTGTAACATTACAAATGACTTTGCTGTTATTTACGATCAATTTAATGTATCCCTGCTGAAAAAATAATGATCTTTAAAAAAAGCATCATATGACCCCTTTAAAACCTTACCGACTCCAAAAATTTTAGTGTAGAAAAAAAAGATACATATGATGCAAGTTTCCAGAATGAAGTACCATTTAAAAAAAATTATGTTTGATATTAGTTGATAAGGTTATGCAGGGATGGAGGAGCATGCAAGGTCAGATTTAAGGTCACTACCTGTACCGTGAGTCTCTGGGCCAACGTCTTCAGTCAGGTTCTATGGGTGAAAAAGAAACACCCACAATCACTCTTTCTCTCTCTTACTCAAACAACATTCTGCAGCAGAGTAGCAGCTACTAGCATCTCACCATAAAAAAAGAAAGTAAGCATGTGTATGTGTGTGATGTAGGTGGCTGATCATCTTATTTTCTTGTAACCTTTACAGATGCTGCCTGTGCTCTTCTCGGAGAGGAAATAAGCTAATGTAGAGCAAAATTCTGTGTGAATCAGGGTTATGAGGGTAGTTATTTAAGTAAATGACTTCATCAAAGGTTAGTTTGTAGTATGTAATAATGCTGTTGAGTGTCCTAACCTCACATATAGCCAAACACTGCTATCCCATAATGCTAATCTACCAAGACAAGCAACACTGACCAGTCCAGCACTGTCAGCTTTTGCATTAATCTCAATATAAGAACCACAACTGTCCTATAACCAGGGAATAGAGGTTTATGGCCTGGTCTAATAATATTCACACAACAATATCTGCTGTCATCACAGTTGCAAAATTCTGCATGCAATTATATATATATATATATATATACAGTATACAGTAAAATACTATTTCAGTCTTTCTACTTCTAAATTTCACGTTTAACTCAGTGTTACTTGCGATCTCTTTATAATTATTTGTGAAATTTGCAAACAATTTCTGAGTGAAAATGTAAATCCTATAACAGATTTTGTATAATGCAGATTGTGATTACTTAATATATATCACAAATTACTGTGTAACTCCTAATAGCTTTTAATAGTGGCCAATTTTCAAATCATAAAAGCAGATTCTGAGTGAAATGTAAATCCTATTACAAATGTTGTTCAGTGTAAATTACTGAATATATCAGAAAAACTCCTTTTAGCTTTA